AGCAGGAAGCCCGATGTGGGACTCGATCCCGGGACTCCAGGATCATGACCCGAGCCGAAGGCAGTCGCTTAACCAACTGAGCCACCTAGGCATCCTAGTTTTAAATTTTAATAGAGTCCAACTTATTAATTTTTCTTTCATGAAGTGTAGTTAGGTGTTATATCTTAAAACTCATTACTATGTCCATCAATAGATGGATGAATGGATAAAGTCACAGAATATTATTCAGCCATAAAAAAGAATGAAATCTTGCCACTTGCAACAACATGGATGGTGCTAGAGAGTATAATGCTAAACAAAATCAGTCAGAGAAATACAAATACCATATGATCTCACTCATATGTGGAATTTAAGAAAGAAAACAAACAAGCAAAGGGGAAAAACCAAGAAACAGACTCTTAACTGTAGAGAAAAAACTGACAGTTCCCAGCGGGGAGGGGGGAGGTAGGTGAAATAGGTGATGGGAACTGAGGAGGGCGCTTGTCTTGATGAGTTTCGGTGTTGTTTGGAAGTGTTGAATCACTGAATTGTACACCTGAAACTAATAGAGCACCGTGTGTTCACCAACTGGAATTAAAATAACAACTTTTTTTTAAAAACCTCATCACCAAACTCAGGGTCACCATATTTTCTTCTATGTCATCTTCTAAGAGTTTTATAGTTAGGTCTATGAGTTAATATTTATGAAAGCTGTAGGCTCTGGATCTAGATACACTTGTTTGCATGTAGATATCAAATTGTGCAAAACTATCCTTTCTCCATTGAATTGCCTTTGTTCCTTCATCAAACTGCAGTTGTGTGGGTCTATTTCTGGGTTCTCTATTCTGTTTTATTGCTCTATGCATCTATTTTTTCACTAATACCATAGAGTCTTGATCATTATAGATTTATAGTCTTGAAATCAGAAATATCAATTCTCCAACTTTATTGTCTTACAGTATTATGCTGGCTGTTGCATGGGTGGGGGGGAGGGGCCTTTCCATATAAACTTCATTTTTTTATTTTTTTAAGATTTTATTTATTTATTCATGAGAGACAGAGGGACAGAGGCAGAGGAGGAGCAGGTTCCCTGTGGAGCAGGGAGCCCGACACAGGGCTCGATCCCAGGCCCCTGGGATCATGACCTGAGCCGAAGGCAAATGCTTAACGACTGAGCCACCCAGGCGTCCCTCCATATAAACTTTAAATCAGTTTGTCCATATCCACAAAATAGCTTGCTGGTATTTTAATTGGGACTGCATTTGTTAATTTGTACCTAAGTATTTCATTTTTATGCTAATATAAGTGATTTTGTATTCTTAATTTCAAGTTCCAGTTATGTATTGCTGATATAAAGAAAAGTGACTGACTTTTGTATATTAACCTTATATCCTGTGACCTTAAAACAATCACTTATTAGTTCCAGGAAGGTTTTTTAAATTGATTCGTTGGTTATTTTCACATAGACAATCATGTCATCTGCAAACTAAGACAGTTTTATTCCTTCTTTCCCAATCTATATACATCGTATTTCTTTTTTTTATCATTGCACTTGCTAGGACTTCCAGTACAATGTTGAATATGAGTGGTGAGAGGGGGCACCCTTGCCATATTCCCAATATTAAGAGGGAAACATCTAGTTTCTCACCATTAAGTTTGATGCTTGCTAAAGGGTTTTGTTGAATTTTCATCTAGCTAAGGAAGCTTCTTTCTATTTGGCATAGAGTTTTTATTCTGAATGCGTGTTGGATTTTTGTCAAATACTTTTTTTCCATCAATTGATATGAAGGTATTATTTTTTCTTCTTCAGCCTGTTAATGTGGTAGATTATATTAATTGATTTTCAAATATTGAGCCAGCCTTGTATACCTGGGATAAATCCCACTTACTCATAGAGTATACTTATTTTTATACTTCATTGGATTGGTTTGCTAATATTTTATTAAGAATTTTTGCATCTATGTTCATAAGAGAATTTGGTCTATAGTTTTTCTTTCTTGTGATGTCTTTTTAAAAATATTTTATTTATTCATTTAAAAGAGAGGGAGGGAGCACAAACGGGGGGAGAGGCAGAGGGAGAGGGAGAAGCAGACTCCCCACTTAGCTGGGAGCCTGATGTGGGGCTTGATCCCAGGACTTGCAGATCATGACCTAAGCGGAAGGCAGATGCTTAACCATCTGAGCCACCCAGGTGCCCCTCTTGTGATGTCTTTATCTGGTTTTGGTATTAGGTAATGTTGGCCTCATAGAATGGGTTAAGAAGTGTTCCCTCTGCTTCTATTTTTTTTTTTT